GTGAGGATTTATTACCAAAATACCATGTGAACAATTGTTCATAAGCAGCCCAATTAATTTAATGATTAATTGATTATTTTTTAATACTCATTTAATAATGACCGTTTGATGAGAAAACGAACGCTCAAGATCGGTTCACATAGTTTGCACAATATGGTTGGTTTCTATTTGAACCAACCCCTATATAGATATATATATATATATATATCTATATATATATAGAGAGAGAGAGAGAGAGAATTATGTTCACGTGAGACCAACCTATTTACATGAGACCTGTAAGACCACAAAATAACACTTCTAACTCCGAACTTTCACAGGAAAAGGATGATTAAGATTACCTTCATAATGTTTTTCCTTGTAAATGTTTAGTGTTTTTTTGGTGATCTCACATGATCTCAAGTCTCTTTCTATATATACCGTTAAGCTTATAATCATAAAACCATCTATGAATATTAAAGTGCTTATTCCCAAGAGTGGGATTAATAGAAATACTCAAAAAGAAAATTGAGTTGAAAATACATAAAACTTCATTTTCATGGCAATACATAATCAATTAAAACGAAAACAAACCCATTAATATTATATGTGCTTACAATTGATCATAAAAGAAGATGATCTTTTAGGTTTTACCTCAATGCCTTGCACACTAATCCCCTGAAACCCCAAGCCAGATTTTCTTTGCAAGAAAAAGTTAATCTCAAACTTGTCAACCCTAATAGATGTTTCAAATTCCCATATTTCAACGTCCATCCAACCATCGTTCCGTAGTCGTGGAAGGCCATCGAATTTTGGCATTTGCGATATCAGGGGGTTATGGGTATTTTCATCAACATTTGGTCTAATAACCGGCAATTGAGGACTAACTAAATAGATATATCGATAACTAACCCCATTGGAAGCGAAAAAAGGAAGATCAGAATTTCTCACTACAACAGGCCCCTCAATTTTGTCGACGTCTCCTGTTATTTTGTAGACAAGGTTACATGCATATGTTGTTCCACGTGATAGCATTTGAAATTTGATTTGGCCACTAATACTAAAATGACTATTATAACAACCAAGAGCCACTTGTTCAAACCTGCAAAAATATTGCATGAAATACAAGTGTTAGAATTACCATAATTAAAGCTTCAATCTTTAAACACAAGTGAGTTGATTTTACAAATGAATGAACATCCAGAACATGTGGTTGCAGATCTACCTATATATGTTTGATGCCTAACTTGGTGTGGATGCTTGCTTAACTCAGTTAAAAACATCGTTAACACTACAAAAAAAATTGGGTTTATAGGACATCATCAACTTCTAAAAATCATAATATCCTTATTCTCTAAGACTTAATTTATAGGAACACAAAATAAAGCGTCCTATATATAGGCATTGTAATAAGTTTATAGGACGCATAACAAGCTTTTTAAGACACTTCCAATTCAAAGTGTCGCATTAGCAATTTTATAAAACATTACTTGAAATAATGTCCTATAAAAAGTTGAGTTTATAGGACACTTTTTATAAAATTGTTAATGTGATGCTTTGTATTAAAAGTGTCCTAAAACACTTGTTAGACGTCCTGTAATAACATCTTTAGATATGATGCTTTATTTTTGGTCATATAAACTAAGTATATAAAATAGTCTATCAGGATGCTTAGGAATTGATGGCATCCTATAAACCCGATATAGTTGTAGCGTATAACAAGTCAAAAGCATTAACGCATGGTGCAAATATATGCAAGACATAGAGACGTCAAAAATAAACATGTTAGGAAATGGAGAAAGAACCTTAAGTTGGGTAAAGATTCAAATTTCCATCCGTCTTTGCTTAAAAGCGCTCTTGCTGGTAGGAAAAGACATTTCTTTCCATTTTTGGCTAGAAAAAACCACTGTTAATCAATAAACATGTAAGTACATTTATTTATAGCAACTCTCGAACGCTTATGTTCGTAGTTAATCATTCATATCAAATATACCTCTTCACCATTATTGATCAGGAAGCCTTTACAAAAAAGAAAATAGAGTTCTTTTTTCGTTGTCCATTCGATACTATCCTTTGGCCACTTGATTATTTCTTCATGATCTTCTGGCAACTTTCTTTCCCAATCTGTATCTAAATCTGATATAGGTTGTATATCCACCTCCTCAACCTCTG